CTGGGGAGAGGTCTCACAGAGCAGGGTTGGAATTTCGCTCCAATATTTCAGGAGCATGTACATATCATATAGGAGAGGCCCTGTGCAGAATATTAGCAAAATCGGCGGACCGGTTTTGGAGCTACAGCCCTGGGAAGCGGCTGCACCTATATTGGTGCATTGCTGCATATTCCCTTGGATTGGGGCTTTGAAAACTCGTTGAGGGGTAGCAATACACTATATTGAGGTATGTACAAAGTTTCAGAACAGTCGGATCAGAAATGGGCGCTTGGCAGGGGGGAAAAGTGCGCAGATGAGGAGGAGCATAACTTCCCAATGTTCTTTGAGGGCATATGTTCGGAATTGAGTATATACAATCTATCCAGCATACCCCCAGGTATGAGGGCACAGAATTTGGGGCGGAGCAAGCGAGCGTAGCATGAGCTATGGGGCAAACAATGTTGACTTTCCTTGAGCAGAGGGCCAACTGGGAGGGCTGTGCCAAATTGAGTATATACATCATGTTAAGGATGCATTAGACTGTGCCTTTGCAAAGAATCAGGATATGAATATGGTTGCCGGGGGTTTGACGAGGGCAACATGTCGCCCAAGGGCAGGCTAGGTGGGGAACCTCTGACAACAGGCAGGGATAATGACATTTGAGTATAAACATTCTATTCAGAATCCTTGGGGCTGCATTACTTCAGACTTTCAGAGCAATTGGACCTGGTCTGGCTGCTCCACATGCCTGTTGGAGTTTGGGGACATTGCAGGCAAGCCGTGCACGAGCTCACGGTGTGGCAATTAGGGGCACAATCATTTCATTCCAGCGGACTCCTGTCTTGTCTCGCTTTATTCCTAGTCTTGTGCTAATTCATGGCGGCATGTCTGCATCTCGCAGACACGCAATCTACAATATGTTCTTGTTACGTATACTGTACTTACATGCACCTTTCACGCTCGCTCACCTCAGTCCTGCAGATAGAGACTGAGGTGAGCATTATGGTATTGTCTTCTTATGCGCTTTGTGGCTCTCGCCGCATCCACTCATTCCTTGCCTGCTCACTCATTCTCGCCCGCACCGCCCTGCTCGCCCCGCGGACTCACCCTCGCGTTCTCACCCACTGCGGCTCAACCTTCGTCAGTCGCTAAGCTTTCTTCAATTTGTCTTCTCTTGGCTAAAACTGTCATCTACCTTGAACAGCCGCCGGACCACACATTTGTGTCGGAGCACGCAATCCGAGTGCAGGGCGCATTGTGGGCGAGGTGCAACGCGCGCTCGCATGCATGTCGCCGATGCTTCGCGAGCGGTGATGCACTCAAGCCTCCCATAATGGCCGCTAGGACGCCGGGGTCGATGGGCTGAGAAGACAAGACCCGAGAAGTGACTTGTGTGTGTGGGGGTTTCCGAGTACGATCCCGAGTTCCCTACAAACACAGATGCACGGAGGAGGGAGGGGGTCGAGCGAGCTTATCGCTCCTGACCCGGGGGTAGAGGATTGCGTGGACGCTAGTCGACGGATGCGACGCGAGACAGGATACCTGTGCGCTGTGACGTCCGAGGGGTACTCACTGTATTTGTCGTAGTCAAGGGCGTCGGGGGCGCTGTCAGGGGAGGTTCGCGAACGCAGTCGAAGTCGCAGGCGCAAACACAAACTTGAGCTCTGAAGGGGTAAGAGAGAGTGCATTTCCCAGTGCTCGGGGCCTGCGTATATACAGGAGGGGCCGAAGCCGTATGGGAAGGATAAGAAATGAAAGATGCACCCGTCGCGCACAGCACGACGGGTGCGATGATCGGGCCCCTACGGGGGCCGCGCTCTACTGGCCTTGCCTAGGCTATCGGGGCCGCGCGTGATACACAGGGCCAAAAGTCGACTGGATCAGGGCTAGGGATAGAGAATAGACGCCAGGGATAGAGCAAGCGCTGATGGATGGCGCCAAGCGCTGATCTGCGGGCTGCCTTGGCCGTGATTGCACTGCCTCCCTGTGATCACGCCCTCTACGCGCTTGCACCACCTCCCGCTGACCGCCCAACGTCGGAGCACCCGGTGTGCATCTAGTTCTGCCCCTTCGCCTCACTCCTGCACTGCACATCTGCCCTCCGCCCCTTGCTCTATGTCTGCGTCGAGTGCAAGCAACAGCATTGCCGAGGGCACCACCCCCGTTGCGCCAACGTTGAGCCTATTGGACGACACTGCTGACGACGGAGCAAGCACGATGTATCTTGAAGAGGCGACCCATGCGCAGATCGCGCAGGACGCATTCCTGGGCTTCGCGTTCACCTCCCTCAGCGATGCCGGGCCTGTCAAGCTGGACTTTCACTCCGTGAACAAGCATCGCGTATTAATGTCCAAGGTACATAGCCTCGTGCGGTCCTTCCGCAGCGCGGGTGTCAAGAACTGGCGCAACCCCGTGCCGATGATTATACCTGCCGGGTACGTCAATCTCAACACCATCACGAGGGCGCACATCGAGTCTGCACAGGGGCCAACGCTAGAGTGGCTCCCGGCCGCGCACGGTCAGACGGTCGAGTGCCTCGACGGTCGTCACCGCAGGGAAGCGCTGCGACTCCGTGTACAAGGACTTGAGACAAGGCGCAACGAGGAGACGATCCCGGAGCGTATGAAGAC